AATATTTAGAAAATCGATTTTTGACATTTATGAATCGATTCAGAATCGTTCACGTCCGCATCGCGATGCATCTAAGAATCGAGTTTTTCCCGCACCCCTAATATATATATATATATATATATATATATATATATATATATATATATATATATATATATATATGTATTGTGATCAATATTCCAAAATGAGGCTGACTGGCACAGTTATAGTAAGTTTCACTGACATCTTATTAGCATGACTTTATAACTAACCTTTTCCCAAGTGATCGGTGTTTGTATTTATCAGCACTGAGCTGAAAATCACATACAGACACACACACAGATCAGCCTGGAGCGATAGGAACTGCTGTCAGAAAAAAAGAGAGAAACACAGAGAGAGAGACAGAGAGAGAAACAGAGAGGGAGAGAGAGAGATGATAAAGTAATATCAAAGAATGAGAATGAGATGACCTCACTCTACCACACTGCCAAACCATCACCACGGCAACACGGCCAAGAGAGACAGAGCGCTGATCCAACTATTGCATCAGGAAAGGAGGAGAGAGACAGAGAGAAAGAAAGAGGGAGAGAGAGAGGAAGAGTGAGAGACAGATAGAGGGCGAGGGAGAGAAAGGGAGAGAAGGATAGAGGAGTGAGTGAGAGTGCGTGTGTGTGTGTGTGTGTGTGTGTGTGTGTGTGTATCTGTTCACATGTGTGGGAGACAGAGAGCAATCTTATGCACACAAACTCCACTCACTCACACAGACATGCACACACATATGCAAGCACACATGGGTGCAATGAATGAAAAAGGCAGAGAGGTGGGAGATGAGGACATATACGTAGAGGTACAGAAAGATAGAAATAAATGGAGCTTATGATTCTCTGTCAAATTTAAATCTGAGAGAAGAGGGTGAAAGGGAATGTATGTGTCTGTGTAAAAGCAAGTAAGTGAGAGACAGTGACAGACAAGCTCTCTCTCTCACTCACACATGCACACACAAGGATTGGTGGAGAAGAGAGAAACAGAGTGCCTGATTAAGGGAGACAGACAAAACGAAAGAATGAAAGAAAGAAAGAGATGAGGGACAGAGAGAGACAGAGAGGTTGGGGAGAGAGAGAAAGAGAGAGAGAGAGAGAGAGATGGGGAGGAGATAGGAGATAGTGAGAGAAGAGAGATGGACATGAGTGAGATGGAGAGAGTGATAGGGAAGGGAGGGAGATAAAGAGAAAGAAAAAAGGAAAAGAAGATGTGGAAGAAAGGACAGGAATAAATGGACAAAAATAAATAAATACGGAAGAGAGACGGAGAAGAGACGGAGAAATGGGGAAGACGGAGAGAGAGAGAGGCAGAGAGAGTTAGAGAAAGATGGGGAAGATGGATAGATAAATAAATACAAAGACAGATATATAGACAGAGGAGGAGATAAAGAGAGGAAAAGAAAGGGAGAATAAGAGAGAAAGACAGAGAAAGAGGGAGAGGGAGTGATGAATTGGATGAGGTAATGACAAACGGAAGAGAGAGTGTGAGTGGGAGAGAGGAGAGACAGAGTGAGAGTGAGAGAGAGAGAGAGAGGGTGAGAGATAGAGAGAGTGCTCAGGCATAGGTAGACAGACAGAGAGCGAGAAAAAGAGAAAAAGATGGAGAGGGAGACAGTGATGAATTGAATGAGGTAATGACAAACTGTAGAAAGAGTGTGAGAGGGAGAAAGGACAGACAGAGAGTAAGAGAGAGAGAAGGAGAGAGACAGAGAGAGTGCTCATAAAAATCAATGAAAGCGTCTGCAGAGAAAAGCCTGTCCTTCAGTAACCTGCCCCAACACAGGACTGAACACAGGATCAAAGACATAAACAAAGAGGAGAGAGAGAGAGAGAGAGAGAAAGAGAGAAATAGGGAGAGAAGTAGAGGTAGTGGGGAGTGAATATGAAGAAAAAGGAGAAGAAAGATATAGAGATATAGAGAAAGAAAGATGCAGAGAGAGCGGTGAGGGAGGTGATTAAAAGTGTAGGTGTCTGTGTGTGTGGGGTACAGCTGTTTGTGCATGTTTGTGAAACAGAAAGACAGACTGTTTACACACACACACACACACACACACAGACACAGAGACAATGATTTATGTGTATGTTTCTGAGTCTGTGTGTGACAGGGTCTCTGTGTGCATTGTGGAAGTGTTGTGTGTGTGTGTGTGTGTGTGAGTGAGTGCTCTCCAGCTCCAGGGTGGCTGACTCACAGCAGAGTCTCTTTCTCACCACAGCCTCAAAAGGGAAAGTGTTCCACACAGCCTAATTGAAACCACTCTGCCTGCTTTTCCCTACACTAAACCCTCACACACACACACACACACACACACACACACACACACACACACACATTTCCACTCTCGCACATCCACACAAATACAAGCTCACATTCTTTCTGATTTGCTCTTTTTGTCTGTTTTCCCAAAAACACATGCATGTGTATAGAAAAAAAATGAGAGAAAGAGAAAGAAAAAAGAAGGAGAAAGAGAGAAAGACAGAGAAACAGACCAAATGATGAAGAGGAAAAAAAGAAAGGAACAAAACAAGAGAAAAAAGAGAAGAAAAATGGGGGGGGGGAGACACTGAGAGAGAAAGAGATATAAGAGAAAATGAGAGCAAGAAAGAGGGATATAAAGAGAAAAGAGTGAGAGAAACAGAGAAAGACAGAGAAAGAGAAAAAAGGAAAAGGAAAGAGGAGAAACAAGGGAGAAAGAGAGAGAGAATAGAGCATTAGAGACAGTAAAGTGAAAAGAGAGAGAGAAAGAGAGTTTGTGGTTTCCTAAAACAGCGGCACTCTTCCCGTTTCGGCTTAACGGGTCAACAGTGCTTAACCCTTCCCTACACACTCTCACACATAGTCTCCCAAGCACTCACACACACTCACTCCACCAATCTACCCTCCTGCCTGCATACCTATACACACACTCACACACACACACACATTTATAAACACATGTACACATATTCAACACAGGCCCCTTACCATGTGCTAAGTAAAAACACAGCAGTCGTCAAGGAAACAGCAATAAATACACACAGTCCTCAGCTTGTGCTCTAATTTCCTCTCTCTCTCTCTCTACATAACCCCCCTTGCTCTCTGTCTCTCTCTCACCCTCTACATCTCCGTGTCTCTCTTCCTCCTCTCCCTGTCTGTCCCCATTTCTCTCTCTCTCTGCTCAGTAATTCACTCACGCTCTGAGCTCAGAACAGCAGTAGTAAGTAGGAGAAGAAGCCTAAAAGAGCAGCAGTGTGAAGTGTACTGGGTCTGACAATACAGTACAGTAAGAAAATGAAGAGGAGAGGAAACGAGAAAAGAGGAGAAGAAAATAGAGAAGAAGAGAGGAGGCATGAGAGAGTAAATTGTTAAGGTTCTTCTCCAGAGCCTACAGAATTGCAGTGTTCAGAACACGAGTGTCTTGTGCCACTGCCATATCCACACAAACACACATTCAAACCTCCTTCTCTCTCTCTCTCTCCCTATCTTTTTCTCCCTACTCTCTTTCTCTCTCTTTCTGTCTCTGTCTGTGCCTTGTCTTTTTTCACTCACAGCTTGCTTGCCCCCCACATCTCCCCCTCTCTCGCTTTCTTTTCACACACACACACACATACACACACACAGATACACACACACAGATGAAAGAGCGGGACTCTCCCTTTTATCATCCATCCACAGGCATCAGAGACTGAGAGTGATGAAATGATGCAGCAGTGTGTGTATGTGTGTGTGTCTGTGTATATATTTGTGAGTACTGTTTCTGCACAGCTCACATTGAATGTAAACTACTCTGCAGTCATGGCTGTCTTTTCCCACACAAAACTAGAAGCATTTCATATGACTACGAAATATGAACAACACCTACATGACTACTGCCTTAAAGAAAAGCACCAGACTAATTTCTCTCATTAGATGATAATGAATATCATGAACTTTATGAAGATATTGATCACAATAATCTGAGTCAGTCATTTATGTTATGTCTGCCCTCCTGAGCATCATTTCAATTGGCCTTAAATCCAATCCAATTAAATGGTGTTCCACTCTTCCTTACCAATGATATTGGTTGGTTTAACACTTCAATTTAAATTGCTAAATTTCCATTTATAGGCTTATAAGCGTCTAATCGTTGATGAACATTAAATGAACATGAAATATCCAAGCCTACTGCGAGTGGCATACTGTTCATACCAAAGCAAGCAATCCAGCAGATCTCTACAGGTTGTATGAAAAATGCCAACAAGCATCACGCTTTTATAAGCTCTGTATGAATGATACTAATGGACAGTCTCATCTGACCCAAGCTCAAATATACAGCTTGACAGAACTGACTTTTATACCACAGTGTGTGCCTAAACAGTGTGTGAGTTGGGCAGTATTAACTTCGTATAACACACACAAACACACACACATATTTTCTAAGCCGCTTATCCTTCAGGGTTGCGGGCGAAGCTGGAGCCTATCCCAGCAGTCACTGGGTGGAAGGCAGCATACACCCTGGACAGATCACTTTGCATAACAATACTTTCCAAATGTATCACAGTATCAGGTCATCAGATGAAATCTATGTTTCCATTGCTAAAGTTAATTAACCTGTGCTTTCTGAGTACAGGTAGTATATGCTAAAAGAGTGCCTTATAAACCTGTAGCAGCTTGTTTTGACTGGGCTGTTTTATGAACATCTTTTAAATGTTTTTTGAAAACAACAGAGGCGTCCAGCAACTGACATACACTGCAATTAATACGCTTTTGTTTAACAATAATACTGCTAAAAATCACTATTGTTGTATGCTGTGGTATACCAGTATATACATTTTAAGTGTGATGAATTCACCAATGCTTTTTGTTAGTACTATAGATTTCAGCAGTGCAACAGTGCAGCATAAGAGTCAACCCATAATAATCCATGATCTCACAGAAACACACGCACATACGTACGCGCACACACACAGACACACACACACAAAATCACCTCAATTTAGAGTAATAAACTCTCACACACAGACCTCATATGGACAAAGCTCTTCTTGCTCTGTGTAGAACTCCAGCTGTCTATCAGAGAGAAACTCCACCACCGACACTCCACCTACACGGGCTTGGCCAATCAAAGGCCGGAAAACCTGAAAGACAAACAAATCCAAAGAGTCCACATGTTTACTGGCAGTTTACATTCATGCAGTCTCCAAAGAACCTCAAAATGAGAAAAGAAACAGATACAGGCTTAAAAGATGACAGCAATTTCATTATGGTATATGTAATAAAGGAAAAGCCTGAGTTTTGTTTTTTTTAACGGTAGATAAGAGTAGCAGTAGATAGGAGTTAGAGTCCCAGCTGCAGTAAGTGGGTAGAACTCCTTACGGAGACTAAAGTGACAGAGCAAAGCGAAGCAGTTTCACTTTGATCTTCCATCTATGCTCCTCTTTTCTCTCTATTCTCCCTCTTTCTTTCTGTTTTTCCTTGTTTTCTTACTTTCCACAACACACACTGGTACATACAAAACACAGAAAGGGATGGAAAAACATTCAATGAACATATACGCGTGCCCACATGCACAAATACACACACACATACACACACTTTACTCTATAAACCTGTCCTTTTGCTGAGCTGTACAATAGAGCATGCACCAGCTGGTGCAATACTAATGTGTGTGTGTGTGTGTGTGTGTGTAGCATAGTGAGGTCTTTGGCTGTTTAAAAGCAATGTGTGTATTTGTGTGTGTGCTTGTGTATGTGTGAGAGATCAGGAATAGTACTGGTGTAGAGCAGCTGTCTCGTGAGAGATCACAGTCAGATTGCCATTGATTTAATCCCTTTCTGTATGCATGGTTTCTATTTATAGAAATACTAGGACAGTGCAGTCAAACTTTCCATGTCTGATAGCTCGGACAGTGCGTGTGTGTGTGTGTGTGTGTGTGTGTTTGTGTGTGTGTGTGTGTTATGCAACATAAGAGTTTTCATCTCTCTGAGGTACTCAGAAGTGAAACACAATCTAAATGAGGACACAGTGGAGTGGAACGTGTGTGTGTGTGTGTGTGTGTGTGTGTGTGTTAGAGAGAGAAAGCGTGTATCTGTGTTCATGGGTGTGAGTTCATAAACCATGAGCTGGAGGGTAAGGGGACAAACAGTGTGTGGGCTATTTTTAGGCCCTTCCCTGCACACACACACACACACACACACACACACACACACAGAGACACAGACACTGCGGTTCAGACACTCAGTTCTGTCAATGAGCCAGACAGATGTAGACAGAGAGAAAGGACAAACAGCTCCAGCTCAGCCACTACCACATATCCTATTCTGAAATGACATATATTCATTACAGTATCAGTCTCTCTCACAGAAAAAAGGAGCTTGTTTGAATGCTTTGAATAGTAATGTATTGCTATAAATTATCACATTTTGCTCTCGTCTTTCCCAGGCATAGGAATAAATGTAACTCAAGTTTAGCCAGAATACCAACTACCAAGCTAACAGGTAACGGGCTGTATTCGGAGTTATGTTGTGAGAGTTAGTTGAGACAAAACTGCGCATGTGGATATTCAGACCTCAGACTTATCTATCGACTTCAGTGCTGCTCAGACAGTTGCATACAGGGGTACAGTTTGCCCAAAACAAAGGTATGTCTCAGTTATACCGGTGACATCCAATCCTGAGAGAAGCTGTACCAAGTCCAGCACCACTGGGCAATGTTAACTAACTAACTAACTCAACTAACAAACAAAATAAATAAATAAATAGCTAGGATTAGAAACTAAGGAAAACTATGGAATGCCATTTACAGCCAACATTAATTATACAACATTATGAATTACAAATAACAAATTATGGCAGCTGGGGGCGTGGTTAAGACTAAGACTGTGAGTTGGAGCTGTCACAAACCTGCACCTGGCTGCCACACAAAAATAGTTAAATACTGAAAAAAATAATATACTGAACTAAAAAAAAAACAATTTTTTCATGAAAAATAATTCTTATAATGTCATTACTGCCTAGTTCACAATAACTTTTTTATAAAACTATTATAAATCGATTTTCATAAATTCATTTGTTTCTATGTCCAAGTTGAAAGAATATCTTACAAAATATTTATTATTTTGTGTCCCTTGCTTCATATTGAAACTGACAACATATTTCACCTACAAAGTGCATCTTTTAGTCTTCATATTCTATTACTAAATTTCTTCAGTCTTAAAGGGAAGTGTTTGTAGGGAGTAGCCTACAGAAAATCTCATGTCCTAAAAAGCCCTACACAAGAAAAACTTAGAAATAAACGTCCTACTGCTCCAAGCAGCAAGCTAGCACGGTCTCATTTATTCTCAGGAATAAATCAACCAGAGCATTCTAGCAAGCGAAGAGTCTGGAGAAGGTAACTTATTTAAAATGCACGTAGTGTTGAGATTCATATTGCTACCCTGAATTAGATCAAATAATCAGACTTTATTCACTTCTGATTTCATTTGTGTAAAAGTATTGATTATTTAAATGGTATTCAAAAGAACACTAACAGCTTTTTATAAATTCTAAAAATTTTAAAAATGTTTTTGAGGAAATACATCAGTCTAATCATTTTATTCACAATCTCAAATGTGTAATATAACACAAACTGTATATAAATAAAAAAAGAATCAGTAAGACATTTTCGGTGCATAATGAAACAGTGAAATGAAAACTATATGAAAATATAGCATATAAAAGAAACACTTCTTTTATATTTTCTATGGTTGAAATAAGACATTGAAAGCCATGGAGAAGACAGAGAGAGGGAGATACACCAGAATACCTGCATACAACTGAGAGACTCTGCCGCTATATTTAGAATGCAGCCCAATCTCGTTCTAATGACATTCAAATTCCTCATGAAGGGACAGCTCACAGCCAGTGAGAACTGCTCCACCCTGAGTCAACACACACCACACACACACACACACAACAACTGGAAACACCTACAGGCGTAGACATGCACACACACATTTTAGTCTTGTCACTTAAATACAATTTCTATCAGTAGTAAAGGAACTGTATGCAAGCCAATGTCAAACTCTGGATCACATAAGCAGATGTGAGCAAACTATCTGTCTGCATTGTGGTGGATGGATAGACACACACACACACACACACTATCATTTTCCTCCTCTCCTTTTTTTCTCCCTTACTCCCTCACGCACGCGCACATACACACACACACACAATCTAGGTCACACACCTGCTGAAGCATGGCCATACACCCACACTCTTGGCAGAGTGCACAGTGTTGCCATGGTTTTAGTGTGTGTGTGAGAGAGAGACAGAGAGCAATGGACAGAGGGAGACAGAGAGAGAGAGAGAGAGAGAGAGAGAGAGAGAGAGAGAGACAGACAGACAGACAGAGAAAGAGAGACAGCAAGTGAAAAGAAGGAGACTGAGCAAGACAGAGCATGAGAGAATGAGAAAGAGAGCGAGTAAAAGACAGAAAAAGAGAGGGAGAGAGAGAAAGAGAGAGAGAGAGAGAGAGAGAGAGAGAAGGTTGGAACATTAAGACTTCATTAAGCCTTTAAAAGCTGCTTCAATCCGTCTCCACACATGCTTTAAGAAACAAAGTGTGTTTATGTGAGAGAAGGCATGAGTGAGTATATTTGCATGAAAATTTCTGTGTGTGTATATAAGCAAGAGGAGAAGAGGAAGCAGAAAGAGCATGTGTGTGTGTGTATGTGAGTGTGTGTGTATGTAATTAGAAACGTCTGCTCAGCACAAACTCACATTTAGGAGTACTTAACAAAATAGGTCAGAAAGCAGGCATAAACACACACACGCACACAGACACAGACACACACAAACATAACACAAAATCACACTGACACAAGCAAGTGCTACTAACGATAATGGCAGAGATTAAGGAGAGACAGAGAGATGCAGCAAAATTAATAACAGTGTGAGAGAGAGAGAGGAAAAAAGAGACAGAGAGGGAGTTAGTGAGAGAGAGAAAGCAGACAGAAAGAGAGAAGAAAGTGAGAGAGAAAACAGAAAAAGGAAATAAAAAGAGAAAAAAAGGTGAAAGAAGTGGGAGAAAGAAGAGACACAGGTGAGAGAAGAAAAGAGAGATGGAGAACATGGTGGTGGGGGGAGTGAGTAATGGTCTCTGGTAAATTTTCACGATTTGGTTAGAATTTCATATACTGTTATATTAGCAATGTCACAATATCAGAATTTCGGTAGTCAATAACACTAGTGAAACTGTATGCTTCCCAGTCTCATTCGATACCATGAGTAACTCAGAAATCCCATGCAAACAAACCCTTGGTAAAAAAACGAAACGAATGGAATGTATTCTTCAAATTCTTTACAAGAGTAAGAGCAAACAGCAGCATTAATTATTGACATTATAATTCTTATTTTTATATTTTAAGTGAGCAATATTGTGTAAAGGACACAACTACTAGGCTAAAGCTTGATACCATAAGGAAAAGGAAAATTGAGATTTCAGTAGAGCTCGAATGAGTGAGCAGTGAGGTACAGCTTACATCAGTAAGATAACTCATAATTTAGCAATATCAAACTTTGTGTGCCAGTAATTTTAAACAAAAATACGAAATGATGCAAGAAATTTCAAGCAAAAATAAAAGCAATGTAGGTATATCTGAATAAAAAACACTTTCATAACTGTTCATAGCTGTTAATTACTGTCAGGCTAAATTCACAGTGGCTAAATGTGACACACTGCCTCCTTCATTTTTATTTCTAAATGTCTGTTAATATAATTTGTAGGCTGTTTTTTGCACACAGACATCTGTCTCAAAAGTAGTTAAACATGCAAGTTCTGCTGATTTCTGCATTATTAGTGTTATCTGACGGTGCTGCCGCAGCAGCACATTTGGACACCACTGTCACATTGTTTTGTTTGTGCTGGTGAACGTTCTTAAGTTTTCTTCTGCTTGCAGTCAGACAGGAATGTGCAATCGATTTCAACCTGGTACTACTATTACTGTAGAAAACTAGTACCTTTATTTATTTTGAATTTTGGCATCTACTTGACATTTCTAATTTTCATAGCCCAATGTCCATGTGTACCCACTTACCCTACACACTCACACAAGCAAAACAGAGACACACTAGAAAAAGCAGAAGAAGTTTTAGCTCTT